CCCACAGTCATATTCCTTCTCTGACTCTTCTGCTTTCTTCTTCCACTAATAGAGATGCTTATAAATACAGGGGACCCACTGAATAGTCCAGGGTCGTCCCCCTACTTTTAGAGAAGAACCAGAGAGCCTCCAAGGTCACACTGGGGATTTAGGGTTTTATAGTAAGTATAACAGAAAGTTATTAAGGGCCCTTGAGCAGGAGGAAGGTTTAGTCTGATTGCTCTGCTCTGTGGAGATGGGGTCGGCAGTCAACAGTGGAGTGGGTGAACAGTTCCTCTCATATATCTGCTCTCACTGGACACAGACCGGCAGTTCACCAAAAAAGCCATTCCTTTCTCTAAATATAAATCACACCTTTCCAGCATTGTGTTAGTTATTTTCCTTGTCACCAGAATAAAATACCTAACACTCTCAACTTAAAGGAGGGGAGGTTTATTTTGGTTCAATTTCAGTGGGTCTCATAGATAGATGGTCGGCCTGCTCCCAAGCGGAAATACCATGGTGGAAGGGCCCCGTGGAGGACAGCTGCTCGTGCTATACAGACCAGAGAAAAAGAGGAGGAGCCGGGACAGCGCTATCCCTTTCCAAGCCATGCCCCAGTGACTGTCTCCTCTGACCAGGTCTCACCTCCCAAGAGCATACTCAGTAGATTAATCCACGGATAAGCACTGAGCCCCCCCTTAATCCAACCACCTTCTCAAAGCTCCAACTCTGCACATAAGACTTCTGGGGGACAGTTTAGATCTAAAGCATAACAACATTTCACCCCTCCAAGAGGCTCATTTCCATCTCAGTAAGGAAAATGTATTGAGTCCTTGTCTAAGAGTCATCAAAGTCTTAACAGTGTCAGCACTACTGAGAAGTCCAAACTGAAGTCTTAGCTGTGAGGCCCGGTGAAAATAAAAATGAAAGTCAAATATTTCCAGCGTACAGTGGCCCAGGGTAAACACTGCCATCCTGAAAGGAAAGAATAGGAAATAGAACTCATACCAAAGCAAGATCAAAACACAGAAGGGAAAACGTTAAATCCTATAGCTCTATTCTCCAGCACCCAGGCCGTGGTGAAAAGTGTGCTCTGAAGGACTTGGGAAGCCTTATCCATATGTCTTTGCTGGGTGCAGCCTGTGTGGCTCTCACTTATGCAGGGTATATTTTACTGCTTGACGGTTTCCTCAATAGATGGTCTATATTCTTGGCATCTTCCATTTGCCAGGGGCTCCATCAGACCTTTGGTTTCACTCTGCCAGCTTCATGCACTGCCCTTTCATGGGCTCCTGGTAGGTATGTGACTCTGTCAGACATATTTGCCTGGCTTCCCAGCCTTCCTAGAATCTTGGTGGCCACCTCTGTGGCCTCATAACTCTCGCATTCTGCATGTCTGAAAAACCAATATGGCATGGATGATGCCAAGATCAGCTGCCAGTTTGAGCAGTAGCTAGAGCCCCTTGGATCATGGCTCAGCATCTTCTGAGTGCCTAGATGGCTTCACTTTGGCTACACTTCCCTAGGAAGCCCTGAATAATTAGATTCTCAGGGACTGTTTTTTCCAATAAAAGATTTACAGTTTTGCACCCTTGGACCTCTAGTTGGGTTTTAATATCAGAGATGCCGTTAAAGTATTTTTCTTCTTGTCCCTGTAGAAAATATTTGGATTCTTTTTAATGCTAACCTTTTCACCCACCATGCCCTCCTTTCCCCTCAATGTTGCACATGCTTCTTTTCTTGGTAAAACTACAAACTTTTAATAATTTTTTTATTTTAAAGAGAATAAAACCCAAGCAAAATAAAACAAAATAAAGCCAATGAAAACAAAACTGTGACACAGCTCCAGTCTGGACTGCTTGCTGTTGTCCTGAGATTTTTTGGTTAGTTACCTTTAGACTCCTTTCCCTCCCTTCTGCGCTGATCTCCTGTGTCCTGGGTTCCCTGTCTTCCTGCTTGCAGTTTATTCTCTGCTTGAGGTATGGGGAGCGTATCTTTCATTAGCTTCCCTGAGGACGTATGCATGAGGATGCATGTCAGTTCTTTAAGAACTTGCACATCTCTCACGCTTTAATTCTCCTATTAATAGTTTGGTCAGATAGGTACTACAGTTTGGCAATAAATTATCCTCAAATGTAAGATGCTGTTTCATTGTTTTCTAGTTTCCAGCACTATCATTTATTTTTTGAAACAAGATCTTGCTATGTAGTTCAGGATGGCCTTGAATTCATTATGTCACTGTGTAGGCCAGGATGGCCTTGAATTTGCGGTGATCTTCCTGCCTCTGCCTGAGTGCTGGGATTACAGGTATGTGCCACTATTCCTGGCCTGAAGTTATTATTTTTAATCCTTTAAATGTGATCTGTTTATCTGTTTCTGTCCTCCACTTTGTCTCCTCCATTTAAATTAAGCTATAAAATTTATAACAGTACACAAACAAATTTGGTAAGAGAGTAGAGTGATGTGTCCAGGAATAAAAGTAGAAAAACTAAACTCCAACTGAAAGATTTAATCTGCGGATAGCGCGTTCTTCTATTTAAATGGGACACACAATAGTGTGGACCCCATATCCTGGACCTTAGTCTTGATTCTTTTTAAGACAGTCTCTACTGTGTCCTGATATTTTCCATTCCCCATTTACTCAGCTAATTTGAGCTGGAAAATCTGTTGGTAGTTACAAGATTATATAACTTCAGAAAGATCTGAGATTAAATATAGAAATGATGAGCTAAATAAAACTCATAGTACTAATATTTTTAGCTCTAGCCATTAAATGCAAGACAATCTCATAGTTTTGTTACTTATCTGAAGTGTAATAGTAAAGATGGGAATTATCCTCTTTAGAGAAGCTGACATGTTGCTCTGTGATTTCTATTTGAAATGTGCAATTGATGTACTTGTACTTTTAAATAGAAAGCATACAAAGATTTGGCTAAATGTATAAACTGTACGGATGGTAGTAAGAGAATCCTGTTGCCAGCTGGAACCAGAAGGTCTTCCTGGAGGGTCTCCTAATGGTCACTCAGCTACCACTAGCTGTTACACGACTAAGCTACTCCCTTGTCACCCAAAATGAATATGCACTAGTGTTTGCACAGTGGAGACCAAACTGGAACACTGTAGAGTGAATTTTGCTAACGGCTAGCTGGATTCTGAAAATCAATAAAACATTTTTCTGTAAAGGATCAGATTATAAATATGAGGCAGGCTAGGAGGCAAAATCTGGAATATTACATGGAGAGCTACATAACGCCTAAAATTTAACTATTAAAAATATAAAAAATTATCCTTAGTTTTAGGATTGTATAAAAGTAACCAGATGGATTTGGCCTACGGACTATAGTTTGCTGACCGCTGGGCACAAAAACTAAAAGGATATAGTTATGGTTTAGACATGTCTGAGTGTCCCCCCCGTGTGTTGTAAATTGAAGTTTATCCCCATTGTGAGGTGTTAAGAGGGTGGACACAATGTGTTACGCAATTAGAGGTGGGGCCTTTGGGAGGTGTTTAGACTAGAGAAGATCATTATGGTGATGCTCCCATGACTGACTCCTGGTAACTTCATAGAAAAGGGAGAGAGGCCAGAGACACACATGCCCCCACTGTCTTGCCATGTAGTGCCCTGTACTGCTTTGTGACACTGCCAGCAAAGAGCCCATCACAAATGCATCCCTTAATCCTAGCCCTTTGGGAGGCTGAGGCAAGATGATCCCAAGTTTGAGCTGAGCCTGAGCAACTTAGTGACTGAGACCCTGTCTCAAAATAAAAAATAAAAAGGACTAGGGATGTAGCTAAGTGGGGAGGCCCTGGATTCAACCCACAATACCACAAAAATAAAGAAAACAAGGCCATTACTACATACAGCCCATAGATCTTGAACTTCCAAAACTAAGTCAAAATAAACTTCCTCTCATTATAACTCAATCTGTGCAACTGTTTTCATCAACAGAAAACAAGGGAAGATGTTAAAAGAAGTAAATGCATGGAGTAATGGGAAATTAAATAAACTAGATGTCCAAGTTTGGCTAACCAGACTTCGCATGGGATGGATTCCCTGCACTACTGTTCTCCCCATTTTCTCTGTGGAGGACACACCAGGAAGCAGATCACAGTGGTGGTGACATCAGCAGGGGGGGGGGGAGGGATACACCACTTGTGGATCACGCCTGCTGCTATATTAAACACCAGGAATATAATGGCGACTACTCTAGATTGGGTCCCTACGGTAAGTAGCCTGTTGTCTGCTTAGAGGGACAGCGTGCTTGTCTATTTTGATACGGTATCTGCATGGATGCACACGGAAGGCACACACTTCACTTGCTGATGCACTTAAAAATTCATTCGTGCTTTCAGGTGTTTTTCCTCTCCACTGCCCCCTCTTTCTTATTTCAGTCGGTGTCTCACTATGTTGCCCAGGCTGGTCTCTTAACTCCTAGCCTTAAGTAATTCTCCTGCCTCAGCCTCTAAATGCTGGGACTACAGGTGCATGTCACTGTCCCCAGCTAAATATGCATTCTTAACAAAGCACACTTGAACCACGAAAACTGCCCATAGCAACATTTCCATAAGACGGTATTTCTCATACTTCCAAACCATTGCTACCTTGATTTTTTTTTTTTTTTTTTTTTTTTTTTGGTACCGGTGATCGAACTCACGACCTTGCGCTTGCCAGTCAGGCTCTATGCTGATGAGTCACCATCTCCGGCCCTATCTTGATAATTTTCAAACTAACAAGCTACGGTATAAAACACAAGTGCAATTTTACATCCTTCCGACAGTCAAGATTTCACGGGGCACAGATCGCCACTCCCAGAAGGATCTTTTTCCACAGCTCGGAGCTTCCTCAAGCTTCTTTCGCCGCGGACTGTCACCGCGTGGACTGAGCTTCCTTCTCGGAGCCCGAGCGGGAGATTCCTCTCGGTATCCTGGCCGGGGCTCCGCCTCGCCGAAACCCACTCACCGGCGGCTGTGGGCGTGGTCTGGGCGGGACTGTAAAAAAGAGACCAATAGGAACCGGCGTCGTGGGCGGACCCTCCAGCGGCGGGGCGGGGCTGAGAGCTGGCTCCTGGGCGGCCCCAGCGGTAGCGCGGCCTTCTTTTTGCCGGACCCCGGTGGTCCTGGGTGGACGAAGGTGGGGAGCTACCGCTGCAGGTGAGTGTCTGACCCGCGCCTCTTTCCGGGGCCCCGCTTTCTTGCAATGACTCCGAACCCTTGATGGGAGCTGCGATCCCCGGAAAGCCGACAGGGCCCAGTGTGCTCGGGCCGACGGTGCTCCCGACTTCGCCTTCAGGGCCCGGTTCGTGGGACCCGAGGTTCAGGCACGGGGCCCCCGACTCGGCTGCTGCTCCGGGGTCCGGCAGGCGCTCTCCGAGGCGCGGTAGTTCTGACTCCTGTTCCAGTGCGGTTGGGGTGCACGCGTGAAGCTTTTCTTGGGATCTCAGCGTCCGCACCCTGCTGCCGCAGTTGGTTCTTGCTGCGGGTGCGTCTTTTCCTGCCACAGAGGGCTGAGCAGCCTCAGCATCCGCCAGCCGCGCACGCCGGGAAAGCGCACGCTAGCCTTTGACTTATTCTGGGAACAAGCCAGGTTGGCTCATGTTTGCCAGGACCGATCAAATGAATTGGCTTTTAGAGTCAACGTAGATCCGGATTTTCTCACTAAGTGTAATTTCATATAAAAAGCAGCCACAATGATCGGAAGTATTACTTCTGTGCATGAATAGAGAACCAGTGTTGAAAATGCCCTGCAGAGTATGTTTGTCCTACTTGTGTATGAGAATGTTGAAAGGCATAAATTTGGGATTTGGTTTTGCAGCTGTCAACCTGTGCAATGAGATAGGATTCCTAAGATTCTTTCTAAAGCCCATGTTTCATAAGTTTGTGTTGAGCTTATTTTTCTTCCTGCACTCTTATAGGAAATAGAGCTCATCAAAGGGCAGTCCAGCAGGGTACAAAGATTTATGAGAGCACATAAGGTTAGGGATTGATTTAAGACTGCAGACTGAAAAGGGAGCACCAAGTAAAATTGAAAGAATTTATCAGGAATTATGTAACAGAAACTTGGAAAGCTTTCACAAGTACTAGCAGCAAGTGCTGTATTTAATTAGCTGTCTTTACAGTTCAACAAATAAAGTCAGGTGAAAATAAATGTTAGGTAAATAGATAAGCGGATATAATAGAAAAGATGGCTAACAACATATATCTTAAATATAGGGAGAAGTTTTGGAATCCTTAATTTATATAGACTACGTTCAGAAAACACTTTTCTGATACAAAAGTAGTTTTGTATTTATTGCAGAAAAATTTTCCTTTTATTCTGGATATGTGGGTCTCCTGTCTGTGTGTGTGTGTGTGTGTGTGTGTGTGTGTGGTACAGTACCAGAGACTGATTCTGGGAGCCTTGCACATGCTAGGCAAGCACTATACAACTAAGCTATAATTTCAGATCCCAATATGTATTTTTTTTTTTTAAAAAACAACTTTAAAGATATTGTTTGGCTACAAAGAAAAGATCATGCAATCTGTCAGAGAAACATAGCTGTCACTTCTTCGAGGTTGTGTTACGTCATTTGTGAAATCTGGATGAAACATATTTCATCAAATTGTAAAGATTACATCAAAGCCTGCTGGAAAATGTATAGCAACGCCTGTCATCAGGTGTTTAATAGTGACAGCTGTTGTTAGTATTGTGTTCATAGTGCAGCAAAGAGAAGTGGTCACTGATTTTAGTCTGACTTAAGAGTATGGCCAAAGAGTAGGGTAGGTATAGTGGAACGTAATCCAGTTACTGCCTGTTGCTGGATCTGTAAAGCTGTACTCTATTCCTCAGATCGGTTGCTGAGATGCTGCCCAGACAGCTAAGGACCCATCAATCTGACCGGCCTGGCCCATAAATCTCAACATTTTAGTACAGTTGAGGTTTTTTTCCAAAAAGCTGCTTGGAAGTTAATAAGAGCTCCTCAAACACAGCTAAAAGCTAAAAAATAGATTAGTTTACTAAACAGAGATTACAGCCTAAGATAACTTAAGCCCTTGCTGGGACTGGTACAGTTTAGTGGACACAGGCTCACATAACCTTAACTAGAGCTTCCTCTTGATTGGATGTTCGTCCACCTCCTGAGGCTTCCTGATTCTTGTGTAAGCCAAATAATTATTTTACTCTGCAAACATTAACTTGGGAAGGCCCAGTGATCATAACTGCTCAGGGATCTTATGTTAGTATTTGAAAAGGAAAACAGAAGAGTCAAAAAGTTATTTTTAACTTTCTTATAGACATCTTTTCTATTCAACTGTAATTGAATAGAAAGTGTTTTTAATAGTGTGGCCAGAAAGGCTGCTGCAGGAGTGAATGGTCATTTGTGAAAGGGAAGTTTTATTTTGACAGTACATCTGAAAGCTAATGAATATGGAATCCACCCTGTGTGATTCAAAAGGAGGAGGAGGCAGTTGTTACAGTTGAGAATTTGTATGATTAATCCACAGCCTTTGAATTTTAATCTAAATAAAAATTTAATACCAATCCTGACAGAGGTAAAGGCATCAGTTATAGTCTTATTTCCTGTAAACTTTTGCTGACATTTTGGAGGCTATCTTGTGTGGATATTGTGTGTGTGTATGTCCACATGATACTTATATTTCATTGTTTAAAAAAAGTCACTTCTAAAAGTAAATAGAAAGATTAACTGTAATGTCATTTTTTTCCTTTCTTTTCTTTGGCACTGGGGATGGAACTCAGGACCTTGCGCTTACCAAGCAAGTGCTTGAACCACCAAACTAAATCCCCAGCCTGAATAGTAGCTACTTAAAAGAGTAATTTAAATGGTCATAGTGACAACTTGGTTATCATTTTTGTAATCTGGCAATTTTCAGTAATGGCATGGATGGTTGAGCTACATTGCTACAATCCTCACTGTGCCACTGGGGTCCTGGTGTCTACTTTCAAGAAGCTCTGTTGCCAGGTTAAGAACGCCTGAGGAATCTCATGTTCCACACAGGTGCTTGAGAATGGGTAGTGTCACACCACCCAAAATAAGAATCTTACAGGAGGTGAGGGGAGGGGAAGTGGCAGCAACTGCTCGCTGTTCCTCTTGTGACGATGAGAAGGTTTTGGGACTCGCTTGGTGGTTACACAACACAGTGGAGGTACTAAGTGCCACTCAGGAGTTCACAGTGGGTTTATGTTATAAATTCCACTTCAATAAAAAACTTGGGATAAAAGATTGCAAGAACACGTTTTATATACTATTTGTTGGGAAAATATATTATTGCTCTTTAGGATGACTACCTTCTAATATTTTATGATTTTTCTCTCTCTTTTTTTGGTACCAGGGATTGAACTCAGGACCTTGTGTTTGCCAAGCAGGCACTTACACCACTGAGCTAAACCCTCAGCCCATGATTTTTCTCTTAAGCACATTTTTTATTGTTTATAAGATGCATCCTATACTTTTTTGGTTCTGCTTTGTATGTCTTCCTTTTTAAAATTAATAGGATATCTTTAATCACCACAACCTTCTTATGGGTTCTTTATTTTTCAAATGGTCTTGGTGTTTTATGATAATGTCCAGCCTTAGGTTGTAGCAGGAAGAACATTGCACTTGGAGTCAGAACACTGGGTTGTCAGCATAGCTCTGTCCCCATCAGCTGTGTGACCTGAGACAGGGTACCTTGTTTTGATGGATTTTGTAGTCTGTTTTCGAGAATGGTGGTATTTGACTTCCTATCCCAAGTGTTTCTGGAGCAGCCACTGAATCACTTACATGAGACACTTTAGTATCCATGTACCACTGCTAGGTAATCATTGTTTTGTTATTTAACTTGGCAATCAGAAAAACCCAAAAAGGGGTTGGGGAAGTTGCTAGTGGATAGCAGATAAATTATTAGACTTACTATTAATATGTGATGTGAACATGCTAACCAATACATTACAGAAACTGCTCCCTACATTTTTTTAAAAATTGAGATAGGGTCTCACTTGTAGTCTAGGCTGACCTTGAGTTCACTGTGTGGCCCAGGCTGGCCTCAAACTCACAGCAGTCCTGCTTCAGCCTCCGAGTGCTGGGATTACAGGTATCTACTACTACTGTGCCAGATCTAAATTTACTATTATTATATTCCTTCAGCCTATAATTTATGGTGTTATTATATTAGTTATGAATTTAGTAACACTGAATTAAGCATAGGTGTTAAATGTTTTCAAAGATAGTAAGAGGAGTTATGTATATTTTCATGGATAGTAAATTGAATTAGGTGATAAGGCTTGCTTTTTGGTACTGAAATCTATAAAACATGATGATATTCAGGTTCTGTGCTCTACCTCAATCACTTGGAACTACTCTGAATTTGGTTAATGTAGTTATGGTTTATAAGGAGAACAGGACAATACAGGACACATACTTTATAGTAGTTATTTTATAATGGTCACCCAATGAGTCAGGTACAAAAGAAAGAGTGCTGGAAATCTGTCCACACACTAAGACCCAAAGAAATTGAGCTGAGGGCCTGGATCCCATGGCGACGTCCTGCATGAGTCCAGCTGAAGAGTGAAAGCCCATAACAATGCCTCTTATGGAGGCCTAGAGCCTATGAGGATGTGTCATGCAAGTCTGTTTCACGGATCTGCACTGGGAAGGTCCAAAGGTCAGCAGTGGAAGCGTGGCAGCTGGCTGAAGGATCTGAGCCAGTAGGCTAAGGGTTTCTGCACTGGAGCCAAGAAGCAATGCTCAAAGTAAAGACCTGGGTCCCCTGAGGGCTCCACAGCCATGCTCAGTGACAGTGAGGTCCCGAGCTCCTCAGATGATAAGGAAACCAGTGTGACAAGCTTCTCCAGGAGACTGAACAGCACACCGTCTTCTGCTCTTGAGCTAGGAAGAGATGCTCCAAGTAAGGACCAGAGCTTCCCCAAAGTGAACCACAGCCATTCCCAGCAACAACAAGGTCTTGATCTCCTCTGATGAGAACAGCTGAGTTAAAATCAGGACAGAAGCTTGACAAGCTCCTTCAGGAAAACCAAGGGCCACAGGAGAACTAACAGCACATGGAGAATCAACAACACTGCTACTTCCAGGTCTCTTTTTCATGTTGGCAACAATCCTCAGGTGTGCCATCCACACTCAGGCTACACTGACTCTTTTTCAGCTGGTTGCTACAGTTGACCGCCAGTTGTCAATCCACGACAGTTAAGATCTGCAAATAAGGACTAACCGTTGTTAGGATTACATAGCGTGTGCTGTGGGCTCCTTATATTTCCTCTTAGCTTAAGTAAACTCGCTGGGCCTGTTAAGAACAGGCATTCTGAGCAGTAGTGATGTGTGATAGGCTTCTGGAAATTCTTAAACACATGTAAAACAAAAATAATGGGCATATTATTTTGCCGAAAATTACTATAATGAATTAGAAATTTTATTTTAAACTGACAGTATTGTCAACTTTGTATATACAAAACTGTATGAGTTTGTGTTTCCTGTTTGTACATTTTGCTGCTCCAGTGTACCTGATGCCTCTCCTTAGGGACTCACTAAAACAGTGGCAGGTTAATAGCAAATATTTACATCAGGAAGAAGAAAGATTAATAAAAAGGACTTGTCTAGAAAACATCCACCACCATGCTACACTGAATGCAGAACAGTGTCAGCCCAGTGTGAGGCTTTTTGAGACCTCAGTGAAAATTAAGGGGGCTTAATGTTGAGGGTTGTTGCAGAGGGCTTCAGGGACGGCCCCTGATGGCACTGTCTAACAACCAGGGAGTTTAGGCAAGAAACATCCTTTGGGCCAGATTGTAACTTTGGATAATCATCTTCTTGTGTCCAGGAGGCAACCCTGTTGGAGATGATGCTTGTATGATTATAAGGAGAAGTGCAGAATGTCAGCCCTCAACTGGAAACCCTTTGTGTACGGAGGGCTGGCCTCCATCACAGCCGAATGTGGTAAGCAGCCCAGGGGACTGAAGTTTGATGGAGTTTGATACTTATTAAGGTTCCATTTGATATTTGATATGAATGTTGTTCAAGTGTAAATTGTTGTAAAACCGTCTCAGAATTCAGAAAGGCCTTCTTTTGGTATGTTTTTAAGACAGAATAGTCATTTTGGCCGCTTACTAGCAGTTCAAAGTATAAGGGGGGGGGGCGAAAGTTGAGTCTCCTGACTAAATAAAGGTTATTTTATATATTGTCCATATTCTTTTGCTATTTTGGCCCTGTTTGTTCTCACTTCAGTCGTTCAGCATTCATTGACTGAGCATCTTCTGAGCACCGGTGCTGGGCCGATGCTTCATTTGCTCAGTTGCCTTCATGGCCTGTTAATTATTCACCTCCTGGCGTGGGTCTGTATGCTGCTGGGCTTTCAGGAAGTGAACTGATACATTTCAGTGAATGATTCTCTCATTAACCTTGATTCAAGAATCAAAGTCACTGTTTGAGGATGGGTTTATACATTTGGATATTTATATCTGGATCTATAGCTATGTATGTAATTCAATGCATGTTTATGTTTGGGTGAAGCACTATATTGAACATCTTTACCTGCATTATCAGACTTAATTTTAAATATAAAACACTCTTTCCTAAGTGAGAAGTTCCTTTAGAAAATGAACTTACCTCTCTTCAGTTGCATTAAATTTTAGTCTTCATGTACATATAGAGTAGTAACTCGTTTTTAAATGGATTTCCTATTTGTGTAAATTTATTTATTTTCTACAGCAATGTAGCCTTCTAATACCTTTTATAGAATAAAATGATGTATATATAAAATGTGAAGAAAGAAAAATACATTTATACATTTTTTGCTTTTGTTACTCTTTTCCTCCTTTTTTAATAGAAAATACACTCACACTTCATGCCATTTCTTGTTTCTTATTTTACATTGTAGTTTGAATGCTTCCTTAGTAATGTATCATTCTGTATACTTACTGAATTTCTTTGTACTAAGTGAACTTTCTTAAAAAATTTTTAAGGCACATTTCCAATTGATTTAACCAAGACACGGCTCCAGATACAAGGCCAGAGGAATGATGCAAACTTTAGAGAGATCAGGTACCGAGGAATGTGGCACGCTTTCGTGCGGATAGGCCGAGAAGAAGGGCTGAAGGCGCTGTACTCAGGGTGAGTAACCTTTGTGTAATTGTATTTCACTGCTGGCTCTTTCAAAAGAGTAGACTGAACCCTAATCCTTCATAGCAAAAGGTAAACATTTGATTTTCATCTGAAAGGAGCAATTAGCATAATAGGTGCTTTTTTTCTTTGTATCAGGTATTGAACTCAGGACCTCATACTTAGCAGACTAGTGCTTGAGCCGCTGAGCTAAATCTCCAGCCCAGCAGATTTTAATTTCAACTGTCTTTTCTAAATATGTATTTTATGTAGCATATTGTTTTAGTGATACTGCTTTTATTTATATAAATACAAGCAATAACACAAAAATTGTTTTAAAATCCTGTTTTTCAATTTCTCTCTCTTTGAAAGTATAACTGTTCACCTTAGCTATTCTGAATTATGGAAGTTTTGCTGTAAAGGAAACGATGTAGCATGGATAAGAGTTGTCTGAACTCAGCATTTAGTGGACAGTGTTTAACAAAAAGTGTTCTGTAGCTATGGGTAGGAGGGTGAGTAAAACAGACTTCACTAGAAGGAGTAAATGGAGAGTCAAGGGAAGTTAAAGGTCAAGGGGGAAAACGGAGGGTACGTATTGAGGTACTTACAAACTAGTGAGATGAAAAATTATTAGCAACCATGGAGGACCGGAAGCAGGGGCAGGATTGTGTCACCAGACCCCAAGAGAGCCGGAGCCTCTAAGTGAAGAACAGTATCCTCAAGGGATGCTCAGAGAGGAGGAAGAAGTCCCTTGTCTTCTCCCTCTCTTGTCCTACTGGCTGAATTCCCTGGAAGAAACTGTCAAGGCGCCTGACTAACGTAGTGTGTGACATAGCCTCTTAGGGGACCGGGAAGGGTGAGGAGGGATCAGCAGCATCACATACTGTAGGGGAAAGAGAACTGGTTGTTTTCAGGAAAGTTTGGACTGATAGACACTGGATCAGACCTTGAAGAATCAAGAACAGTTAACCGGGTGAAATTAGAGGGGAATGGCACTGATACAAGCCAGGAGTATGTACAGGAGAGTATGGCAGACTCTAGGAACTGCAAGTGATTCAGCACAGGGACAGTTAGGAGGTGGTGAGTAGCAAGAGACTGAGCTGGAGTGGTAATAAGGGGTATTGGGTGGTAATAAGACACGGACAACCTCCCGCTGTGCCAAACACAGGTTGCAAACTTGCGGTGCCAAAGCCAATGGAGTCACCGATCTCAAAGGTTTTTGTTTTCTTTAAATTTTTTTTTAAACAATATTTTAACTTTTTTATTTTTTTATGTCTATTTTTATTTTTATTTTTTGTATTTTTACCGGTACCAGGGATCAAACTCATGACCACACGCTTGCAAGGCAGGTGCTTATGCTGCGGAGCTAAATCCCCAGCCCCAACTTTTTTATTTTTTGGTGCCGGGGATCAAACTCACGATCTCACATTTGCCAAGCAGGCACTTGCGCCACTGAGCTAAACCCCCTGCCCTTTTTATTTTTATTTTTTAAAAACAAGGTCTCAGTATGTAGTCCAAGATGGTCTTGAATTTACATACAGTCCAGGATGGCCTCAAACTTATGGTGATCCTCCTGCTTTAGCCTCCCAAGTGTTGGGATTCCCAAGAGTTGTTTTTCAATTGAGCCAGTATTTGATTGATTGATTAAAACAGGATCTCTCTGTTACCTAGGCTGGCCTTGAGCTTCTGGACTCAGGCAATCTTCCTGCCTCATTTAACTAGCTAAATTCCATATTCATGCCTCATGGTTGACTGAGCCAATATTTTAAAAATGCGAAATTGCACATAAAATTTTGGAATTCCAGGTTTTCAAGAAAAATCAACATTGTACCCATATTCACTCACTTACGTTAGTCAAAGTATGCTTTTTCTGGCTTATAAAACCTCTGACACAGAACATTTGTGTGCAGTTGAACTGAGCCTGCTTCCCTCACTCACATCTGCCTGTATCTGTAAGCATTTGAGTTTGCTATGCCTGTTACAGATGGAAGCTACTAAAGGTTTTTTCCTTTTCCCCTTGTTTTATTAGTATATGTTTTCTGTGTGTGATAAATGCATTCCTTGGGGGTTTTAAATAGGAGGACTGAAAGGATCAGATTTCCATTTAAAAGTTGCCTGGTGCCATGGAGAAGAAGAGTTAGTTGATAGGTAGCTCTAGAAGCAGAGCTGTCCTGTTGAAAGCAGAAAAGATCAGAATCTAAGCTGAGGTATTATTTTGAGGGAAGGGGAGGAAGAAGGTGGATTAGAAAACTAGCTTGTAGGTCAACAGAATTATGAAATCTGTTATGCGGGCCTCAAAAATGAGGCATAATGAGGAAGGGGGAACAGGGCTGGTGGACTTGTGGTTTTGACCAGTGTGGAGCTGGTGGAGGTTCCATTCCCTGCTTTAGGAAATGGAAAGTGATAGTTGATTCTCAGGGAGGAGAAAGATAATTACTTCAAGTGTGGAACATTTGACCTGGGAGTACTTGTAGGTCATCTAAATTGACAGCATAGGAAATTGGTAACTTTTGGGTCAAAGTTGGAAATGGATTTAGGAGTCAACAGAGTTAGATGCTGGTTGATGTCATGGTTGTATATGATGAGCTCAGGTAGGGTGAGGAGAGAAGGTAGGGGGGAATTCTGGGGGTCCCCAGAAGACACAGCTAGGAGATGCTTAGGGAACAGAAGTGGGAGATGGTGCCACTGCCTGTCATGGAGGAGAGAGCTGACAGAGGGGTATGTGGTGGCCAGGAGCAAACACTATAGAGGTTTTAGGACTACTACCTGAAAAGCATCCTTTCATTTGGCAACAGAATTGCCACTTGTTGAGGAGGGAGTTGAGGGAGAGGGTAGAGAGAGCCCAGACTGTAATTGTAGAGGGAGGTGAGGGGTGGCTGTGGCACACCATAAGCACCCCTGTAATTCTCCTGCCACTGAGACAGGAAAGCCCTTGCATTTTAATGTACGTGGGCTTTAAAAGAATTAAGATGTTACGTACATGTTCCATCTTCCTGTGGTGAATGTTGTCATTACATACTACAAACATGCACTCATTACAAATAAGAATTACAGAAAATGTGAATGGGCAGATGGATTCTGTTCCATTTTCACTGATCATAAATGTGAGGCTACCCTCCCACTTAGTGAACTAGTAATTGTGTGTGACAAATATTTTCCCTGGGGGTTTGGAGGACTGCAAAGATCAGATTTCACTGAACCCACTTATATTTTTGCTGGACTTTGTATTTTAAAAAATGATTTTTGTGTAGTTTGATTGGTCTCTGGATTTCGAGTTACTTTTAGGTTGTTTTGTCTCTGCATTTTGGTTCAACAGGATTGCCCCTGCGATGCTGCGCCAGGCTTCCTATGGCACCATCAAGATTGGCACTTACCAAAGCTTGAAGAAATTGTTTGTTGAACGCCCTGAAGGTGAGTGGTGAGTCTCTTTTCCATTTGGGGATTTTGGTGATTGAGCAGAAAAAAATTTAGACTATGCGTTTCATTTATTTTGCCATAGAAAATGTTCCTTGTTATGTGGGTTCATTAAAAATAGATAGGCTACAATTTCACCCAAATGTAGGGTGATCATCAGTAATTGTTTCTTTTTTTTTCATTATTAATTATTTCTGAACACATCTTTTTACTCATCATTATTACTTTAGGAAATACAAATGAAAATATTCATGTATTGTAATTAGATGTAACACATTAGACAACAGGGATACAGCTTCCTTTCCTTGTTGGTCTTTTAATTCAAGTGTTTTGGAGCAAATTTTCTTTGGCTTTATTTTGACTTTACTACATTTGAGGGAAGTCTGAGTGTAAAGTCTAAATGAATTTTGTGTAAATATCAGCTGAATCAAGAGGACTATCAATTTACAAGGTGCCATCTCTACAAACATTTTAATTGTGCTTATCTCTAAATGCCCAGACTACAGGGTATGTTGTTATCATTTAATCCAAACTAAAGTCTTGTGAATTATCACCTGTTTCTTAGTGTTAAGAGCTCTTCTGTGGCCAGTTGGCTCTGTGACTTTGTTTGAATCCATATAATTGTCTATCTTCCTGCTCCAGTGGGGTGAGCACCAGTCATTGTTACATGAACAACTGCTTTGAAAGATGCTTCAAACATATTTCAAACTAAATGCATATGCTTTAAAAACTTTCTATGGCAAATAAATCTCCATGTTATCTCATAGGCATTTGGATCTTTTAAATTTTGCTAACAGGTACACCTCATCTTAATTACTGTAGTCCGAATTTGCACACAAAACTCAATTGGTAGCTTACTACTTATGTTGCAGGATGATTCATATTTATTTTCTAGATACCAAGAAATTTTGCTAAGCAAAATCCCTTTAGCCAGCAGAATTCTTTTAAAACTTGTTTGCTCGCTTTCCTTTCTTTCTTTCTTTCTTTCTTTCTTTCTTTCTTTCTTTCTTTCTTTCTAAGGTCTCATTAAGTAACCCAGGCTGTCCTGAATTCATGGCAATCCTCTTGTGTCAGCCTCCCAAATGTTAGGATTAGAGACATGTACCACCAACCCTGTTGGGAAAAATTGCTTGATTTATGCAGAATAAATTAAAGCCCAGTTGGTGGTACATACCTGTAATCCTAGCATTCAGGAGGCTGAAGTGGGGGGACTGCCATGAGTTCAAGGCCAGCCTGGGCTACATGGTAAGTTTGAGGCCACTCTGAACTACATAGTGAGACCCTGTCTTAAAAAACAAAAAAGAATACATTAAGTAGAACATAAATTAGTAACACTAATTTAATTTTTTTTTTGGTACTGTGGATGGAACTCATTACCTCATGCATGCCAGGCAGGCACTTGTGCCACTGAGCTAAATCCCAAGCCACTAATTTAATATTTTGAGTTACGGGAAGAACTCTATCTGTATTAAAATTAAAATAATATGTCTATTTACAGATGAAACTCTACTGATCAATGTCATATGTGGAATTCTCTCTGGAGTCATATCTTCAGCCATTGCTAATCCAACTGATGTTTTGAAAGTAAGCTTAGAGACACATTTTACATTTCTTACTGGGAGTACTATTCAGATAGAAAATCTATGAATCTAACATTGCTATATATATGTGGATCTGTTCATAATTTGTCCTGTAGAGTTTTTCAAATGTTCACTAAATGGGTTTCCTACTGATATAGATGAGCTCAAAGGTAGAAGTCATTTTGGATATAAAGGATTTTGATGACTGAACAGAGCAAAATTTAGGCTTTGGTGCATTTCATTTATTTTTTTCACAGAAAATCTCCCTTGTTCAATTGGTCATTAAGAGTAGATGGGCTACAAGTTTTATACAACTCTAGGTTGTTTATTAACAATTATTTTAGAACATACTTAATTTTATTTTAAGAAATACAAATGGAAATATTTACTTAGAAATACCACATTGTATAATATATAATTATATATAATATATTATAATTAGAACACATTATTTGATTTTACTAAGAAGACTAGAGGTATAGCCTCCTTACATCTGTTTTGGAATAAGGCAAGAGAAAACTAAATCAAATAATTCTATAAGAATTACTTTCTAAAGCCTCTCAAGGTATTTCCTCTACCATCTTCATTATTTAACTCATGTTCTGTGCTTCTCCCTGTACTGTGCACATCACATCCCAAATGAGTAGGAAGAGAACCCTGCCCTCAGGGAGCCTTCCTTCTAGGCTTTATTTCAACACTTTATTTTAACGCAAGTGACATAATTGAGTAAAGGAGTGAGAAACTTTCTTCTTCTTCTTCCCTATCTGTAAAATAGGAATATAAGGAATAATCATGATTTTAAAATTCCTTTTGAATAATTCATGTATGAAAAGTTTTGTGAAGGTTGAATACTTTTAAAAATTTTGTTTGATTTTTTCATTTGTTCATTTGTGTTGTTTAAACCCTTACAGAGAAAGTTTCCAGATTATTCTTCCATTGGATGGTTGATCAATACGGTTTCATGGCTCTTACGTAAAGTCTGTGTTATTAGGCAGGCACTGATGTAGAGCACTCTTTCCTAGAATTTTAATGACTTGTCAGTTCATGGAACAGACCCTAAATGTCACTCAATACGAGCCCTCAGTTGACACAGAAGACTCTAAGAAGCAACTTATCCTGGCCAGGGTCTGGCCAGGGATTCTGACAAACATCAAAACTGTGTTTAACCCATTGGGTACCCTGTAGTTATACACGTGCTACAGAGAAGATACCGTGTGTCTGAAGAGAAGTGTAAGGCAGGTTTGCTATAAGTTTACCTTTCGTTGGAGTAAGAGAAATATACCCTCTCTTATGAACTTCCTAGATCTCTTATTAACATCTCAGGCCTTGTGGGAAGGCAGTTGCTGTATTTTAGGTTTTTTTCCTAAAGTGTGGCAGTAACAGTTTCTTTTAGAAGTTAGTGCTAAGATAAATATAAGGTATTATGTTTTTAAGTGAAAAATCCCTTTTCATTCTTATAGCAAACAGCTACATCAAACATTTGGAATCTTGGTCATGTGGACCCGTGACCTTTGAGAAGTTCACTGATAAGTTCAGGCGTAACAGAGGGTAATGGCATCATGTAGCTGTCATGTGGTCAGCTTGCCTGCATACTTTTTGGTTCAGCAGGTTGGCAGTAGTGGCTTGGAACAATTTAACACTTAAGGTTTTCTATGTTTAGTGCAGCCAGCTACTCTGGGTGACTCTTTTAATTATATTAGATTTTTAGATTTAGCATCCCTTTCTCTCTTTTCTATTTAGTAGGCTACAGGGAGGTATGGTGTTGTCTGTCCTTCCCAGAAGACATTTAAAAGTATTAATGGGAAGGGGGGGGGGCTAAAAAGAATGACATGAAAGTAGAAAGGGAATGGATACCAGAGGGATGAGGGGAGTGGGTAAGAGAAGGTAGGGAAAGGTAAATACGATCAAAGTGTATTATTTGCAGGCAAAAGTGTCTCAGAGAAATCTCCATTATATTGTTCAATTATGTAGTATGTGCTAATAGAGTAACAAAGTAATGTTCTTAATTTTTATTTTGTTATTTTATTTTAAAGGACAAAAAAAGTACAGAAAAGTCAAAGGGCAATCAAACAAACAAAAAAATAACAACAACCAAAATCCAAATGACAATAACAACATCAGCAAGAGCAACAGCAAAACAGCAGTGATACAGGATTTCAAAACAAGATGATAGGAACTTAACCATGGTTGTTACATTATATAGTGTTACATTCAGAATAGTTGCTCAGATTCACTTAATTTTTAAAAATTAAGTTTTGGGGCTGGGACATAGCTCAGTGTCATAGTACCTGCCTGGCAAGTGTGAGATTGTGAGTTCGATTCCCAGTGCCAAAAAAAAATTTTTTTTTTCTTTTGCAACCAATTTCTTTCCCTTTCATTTCATGTTATTTATTGTACATTTTGAATCTAAAAAGAGAAAAACAAAAATTAATTTTTAGAGACTTAATAAAATACTGTATGAAGTCTCTGGATTCTGTCAGGTGCTTTTTAGAGATCCCAGAGTTCCTAAGAACCAGTCCGTACACCTTTAGTTTACTGAGGACATTTTAAAGTCACATCCCTGTAATACTTATATTGCAATTTTTTTCTAAGGGTTAGCAAGCAGTAGATGGAATAGTTTTCAGATAAAATTCATGGTGATGGTGGTGGGATATGTGTTAGTTTCCTTCCTTCTCATGTTGATCTTTAAAATAATCTCTAGATACGAATGCAAGCACAAAATAGCACTGTTCAAGGAGGAATGATAGGCAACTTCGTTAACATTTACCGGCAGGAAGGAACAAGAGGGCTCTGGAAGGTAAGATTGAAGAGCAGATCCTGCTGATTGACCGGCTTGCCTTTTTTCTTTTAAAATGAGTTTGTCCTATTTTCAACACTTTATTTTAACGCAAGTGACATAATTGAGTAAAGGAGTGAGAAACTTTCTTCTTCTTCTTCCCTATCTGTAAAATAGGAATATAAGGAATAATCATGATTTTAAAATTCCTTTTGAATAATTCATGTATGAAAAGTTTTGTGAAGGTTGAATACTTTTAAAAATTTTGTTTGATTTTTTCATTTGTTCATTTGTGTTGTTTAAACCCTTACAGAGAAAGTTTCCAGATTATTCTTCCATTGGATGGTTGATCAGTACGGTTTCATGGCTCTTACGTAAAGTCTGTGTTATTAGGCAGGCACTGATGTAGAGCACTCTTTCCTAGAATTTTAATGACTTGTCAGTTCATGGAACAGACCCTAAATGTCACTCAATATGAGCCCTCAGTTGACACAGAAGACTCTAAGAAGCAACTTATCCTGGCCAGGGTCTGGCCCAAGATCACACAGTTAGTGCCAGAGTCAGAATTAGACTTCAGAGCTTTTGCATTCTTTTAGAATGTGTGCCTCCGAAGCGAGCACGGCTTTCCACTCTTGCCCTCCACATTTCTGCCTACTATAAGAGCGTATGAAATTTTGCTGTAGTTTGTGAAGAATCTTTGCATTCTACAGAAGACTATCTGAATCACTTTATTCATATTTTTATGCAGGGTGTGTCCCTTACAGCTCAGAGAGCTGCAATTGTTGTTGGTGTGGAACTGCCCGTCTATGACATCACCAAGAAGCACCTGATTCTCTCAGGCCTGATGGGAGACACCGTGTATACCCACTTCCTGTATGTTTATGGATTTTAAAAAAATTAGTATTTAGGTATGCATGAGTTTAGGATGGAAATTTGATATAAACTTTAAAGAAATTTTAGATAAATTAATTATAAGGTATTATATTTTAATAGTTGAAGAATTGTAACCCAAGTGAAGCAGGACAAAACTCTTACCCCTTCACGTGGTCGCTGTTGTTAAGAATTTGGGATGTATCTGTGTGTGTGCAGCAGGTCTACAAAAGTAGACCACATTACGTTATTACATAAATAAGATAATACTTTATAGCTCTTACTTGCTTTTTGTGTGCCTTTGTTTTCTCAGGGCTAAAGACTGACTCTAGGGCTTAGTGTATACAAGACAAGCACTTCAACTGAGCTATGCTATTAACCCCTCTTATTAGCAACCTAAATCGCTACATATCAACATATCAACAATATATGTTGGGCATGGTAGTGCATTCCTATAATCCCAGCAATTGGGAGGCTGAAGCAGGACAATCACGATTGCACGAGTTCAAGGCCAGCCTGGGCTACATAGTGAGTTCAGAGCCAGCCTGAGCTATATGCATTTAATATACTTAAATGCAGGGCTAGATCCCATCTCAAAAAAAAATTCAACAATTTATTTTAAATGTCTCTCCATGTCAGTCCTTGTAGACTTACTTTATTTTAATAGTTTCGGATTATCACATGTCTGAACCTATCACAGATTCCTTAATCCATTGGCCCTGATCAAGGGACTTGGCAAAGTGTGGAGACTTTGGATTGTCACTATAAGGAGAGCACTGTATTGTCTAGTGGATGGACGCTCCAATTGTGGCTAACCATCTAGGGTGTACAGGGGAGTCTCCATAAAGAAGAGTGATCTTTCTAGTCCGAAATGTACATTGTACATCTAGTACATAGAAAAATCTTCTCTGAGTTAATTGGTACTGTTTAAAGAAAAACCTGGGGCCAGTTAAAATGTATCAGAATTAGGTAAGCAGCATATGTTAATGAATCAGGTAGCACTTGTGACCAGAAGTCCCACAATGTGTGTAGGTGATATTTATGGCCAGACACATGGAAGTGACGTATGATAGATATTCAGCTTAGGAGGTTTCAGTTTTACCGTGGTGGGAAAGATGCCCATATAGCCATCCTGTTTTTCACTTTCAGTACAGTAGTCAGCACCTTACATGAAGTATTTGATCCTTTAATTAAAAATAGGCTTTCTGTTAGGTTAATTTAAGTGATCTGAGTTTAATGTACGCTTGACTAAGCTTTGATATTATGATGATTAAGTATATTAAATGCATTTTCAATTTATGATGTTTTAGACTTTGGCTGTGTTTACTGGAACATAAGCCTATCATAAATTGAGAGTATCTGTACAGAAATAGCCTGATTGATGCATTTCTGCATTGCTTCATTTGGACATGTTTTGACAGCTTTCTGTCTCTATGTTGGCTGATACTTGGCTGCTTGTTATGGGAGAATATTTTCATATTAGATTGTTGATCCATTAAGTTAGGTTACAGTTGGTTATGTATGGGCACAGTTTTAGGTAAACATAATTCAATTTAACAATACCTATGTCTGCGATAGACTTGTAAGATTCAAAGTCTAGTAGGATCTGAGATGTTTATGGGCAATTATAATGAGGACATCTTTTTCTTTAACTTCTGGGAACAATATGAATTACTGTGCTATCTACATATATGAAAATAGGTGGGATAGGTTATCCTTGTAGGATTCCTTCCTTTGACCTTCAAAAACTGTATTCTTACCTGTAGCTGGAATTTACAAGCCAGTATAAATCATTGCTGATGATTTATTTAAGAAACTTGTCTGGCTCTCTAGGTATGGACCTTATTCTTGATACATTTCATGTTGTTCCATCTTACTTAAACAGTTTTGGGAGGAGATTGTTTCCTGTCTTTGATAGTAGCAGTTGTGACTGAGTGGTGATTAACACTGTGTTTTATTGTTAATGCTGTCTTTTACACAGCTCAAGTTTCACCTGTGGTCTAGTAGGGGCCCTGGCCTCAAACCCTGTTGATGTTGTGAGAACCCGTATGATGAATCAGAGAGTCCTTCGAGATGGCAGATGCCCTGGCTACACAGGTACCCTGGATTGCTTGTTACAGGTGAGAATGAATGTCTGTCTCTGCAGGGTTGTGAAATACATATATGAAATAACTAAATTAAAACTATGATGACTCAAGCAGCTGAGGCAAGAGGATTGTGAGTTTGAGGCTAGCTTGGGTTATATAGTGAGACCTGACTCAAAAAACAAAATTTCAAAAACTGAGAGGCATAATAGTTTATGTATCCATTTTTGCCACACTGGGTTAACTTTTTAAAAATTATTTCTTTTCTACTCTATTTATTTTTTATTATAATTAGTGCCTATTGTACAGATTGGGGTTAACTCTTTTTTTTTTGTCTTTTTGAGATAGGGTCTTGCTATGTATTCCACGTGGCCTTGAAGTCACTATGTAGTTCCTGCTAGCTTTGAATTCACAGCAGTCCTCCTGCCTCAGCCTCTCAAGTACTGGGATTGCAGACATGCACCACTGTGCTTGGCAAGGGTTAACTTTTATTGTAAAATCTAGGTGCATATTTAGAAATGAAAGTTCACTTTTGTATACCTCACTCTGCTGTGAAGGGTAATAAATTAATGTTTCCTATAATCATAGAACTGTCTCCTTCCAAAATATACTTTTTTTCCTTTTGAGTCAAACTGGAGAGAATGTCTCTCATTCAGATTCTCTCTAAATGGGATACATCAGTCTTACTGTAATTCTCAGCATTTAGGTAACTGGGCCCGGGGGATGAGAATTCAGCTCAGTAGTGTTTTAAGTGCCTGCCTGGCAAGCACAAGATCGTGAGTTCAATTCCTGGTACTGGAAAAACAAACAAACAATACAACTGGGCCAACTATTCACAAGTACATGAATGTTTTCAACTGTTTCCACAGCTAGAGTTTAAGCAAAAAGACTGGGATCGGGGCTGGGGATTTAGCTCAGCAGCATAAGCGCCTGCCTTGCAAGCAGGTAGTTGTGAGTTCAATCCCGGGTACTGATAATAAAGGAAAAAGACCAAAAAAAAAGACTGGGACCATTTTTGTGGTTTCCATTCTGTAGCATGAAGTCAACACATTATACTTCAACTATTGATTGGTTGAAGTGCAGATATTACCATTTTTATTCACCCAACAATTTAGGAAAGAGGGGTGCTCTGAATGATATCTTTATCACTGTTGCTTGCTTGCTTCACTTTGTTTCGACCTTCCCCTCAGGGCCCCCCCTCCCTTGCGCTCCTTTTTTTTTTCTGGATTTTTTGAGACAGGGCCCTACTGTGTAGTTCAGGGTGGCCTTGAAATCACTATGTGGTCTAGGCAACACTCCTAGTACCTGCTATGCTCCCAGCCCCAGGATTTAACTCTCAAAAAAAAAAAAAAAAATAGATCAGAGACAACTATTAATGTGTTTGACATCTTAGAAGGTTGGAATTTAACTCTCTTTTTTCTTCTTAACAGACATGGAAGAATGAAGGTTTTTTTGCTCTGTATAAAGGATTTTGGCCAAATTGGTTAAGGCTTGGTCCTTGGAATATTATCGTATCCTTTCTGTTGCAGTAGATCTAAAAAAAGAATATTGTTTTTATAAGCTATACGTATTACTTATTATCTTTTATTCTTAACATTTTGAGTTCCTCTTATTCTAAGAAATAACTGTTTAGTTTTTTTTTTTTTTTGTCTTTTTCCTTTTCTTGGTACAAGGGATTGAACTCACAACTGCCTGCTTGCAAGGCAGGCGTTTATGCTGCTGAGCTAAATCCCCAGCCCCAATAGCTGTTTAGTTTTTGTTTATGCAGTCTGTTCTAGACACTGGATCCTAATAATAGTGTATTAAAAGGTATTAAAATTTTTTTATTAGATTGTGCTTTTGAAATTGAGGGTATTTACAATTTCAGAGAGAGAGAGAAAGATTGATTTTCTATCTGTAGCTGCCTTGCAGAGGAATATGGTTGGCAACAGGGTCCCAAGAATGCTTATTGTAGAGACCATCTGATGATAAACAGGAATTGGCTCTAGAATTGTTTAGTTTATCTGCATTTTTTCATTTATTCCCAGGTAGGAGATAGGTTTGGTAGACTTGAGAAGGCGGAATTAAGAAGCAGAAATGTTGATTTTACTTCTCTTTATCTGCTCCTCTTCCCAAGGAAGGCTGCATAATGGGAAGCCTGGAGGAGCTTCCCAGAGTTTACACAGAAGTTTATTATTCTAGAGTCTGAGCACAGCAGTCATGAAAGCTGATGAGTACAAGGCTGTACACATTTGGTAGCAGGTGTGCTAATTTTAGGTCTGTTTTTATGTGTGGGGTGGGGGGAAAGACATCATTTTTATTTGGCAGCCTTAACCCATGACTACAGTTTTTTGTGACATATGAACAGCTGAAGAGATTGGACTTGTGACGAGTGAAGCTGCATGAGGCACCCCTCTGAAAATGCTAACTTCTGCCACAGTAGAGCTTCTGGCATTTCTCTGTGCTTCTCACTGCTCCGTTCATCACAGATTCTGGGATGGGAGCAACAGATGAAGACTGGGATTGATTCAGATTGCTGTGTGTTGGCATCAGATGCCTTTCATCAGCATTTAATGGCTTAAACTTTAAACATCCCAACACTAGTCCTTATCTTTGAAGTGCCCTTTGACATCCAAGATAATATATGAAATGCATGTTTCTTGCTAAAGAAAACCAGGAATGTGTCCTGTGTGCTTCAGGGACAGTAGCTCCTGATGCCTCCCAGCTCCCAGCTGCAAATATCAGAGAGCTCTAAAAAGTTGAAGTTCACTGAAACCCTGCAGTGGAACCTTCTGGAGGGTGATGCTGACAGCTGGGAGCTTTCCTTTCCTGTCAGCTGAAGACATTTTGTTCATGGAAACTTGGGCTTTTTTTAAGTCCAGGTACAGACAGTGCGGGGAATAGATCCTTTCACTGCTTTGTGATTTCCTTTCTTGTCAGGATCTTTCACTTATAATAAGTGATGTTAAGCCTCTAAAGATTTGACCTTTGTGAGGAACTGTTACAGTGTTTTAATACCTAAGTTAATGCTGGTGTGATATGTTGACTTCAAAGGTTACAATATGTTGTTGGGAGGTGTTTTCAAGCAACTGGGCTTCTGTTTTAGGTAATGTTAGCAATCCTGAGTTTAACAAAGTTTGTCATTTTTAAATCTGTAAAGTGGGGTAGTAACATCTATTAATGTAGAGATCAAATAAAGGAAAAGTTGGGCAGAGTCAAATAAAAGGCAGAGTTGGGCGTGGTGGTATATGTCCATAATTCCCACACTGAGAGGCTGAGGCAGGAGGATTGCAAGTTCAAGTCCAACTTAGGTAATTTATTGACTTAGTAAGATCCTGTTTCAAAATAAAAAAGTTTAAAAAGGGCTGAGAATGTAACTCTGTGTGAAGACCCAGAATTCAATCTCCAGTATCACAAAACAAAAAGCAGGGTGCTCTGTGATTTGAAGGGTGTGTTTCTATCATTTTTACAGTTACAATCCTTAAACAAACACTCTGTATAAGCAGGAGCAGGTTGTATTTTCATGAGCTTCTCACAGCAATTGAGGCCTTGTTAAGGAAAGAATCCTGTTTCCCTTAAAAAAAAAAAAAAGGAGGAACCCTGTGTGAGGTTTTTGTTGTTGGTTTTGTTTTTTCAATCAGGTTTTATGTAAGTGAATGTTTCAATAAATTTTCCTTAGCAAACTGTTGCTAGTCAATTAAAGAGTTAAGTGTTGTAGATTTCTAGCTTTTATTTTAGTTCATGTTGTATCTGTTAATGCTTCCTGTTTTGGTTGCCCTAGTTTGGTAGAAAATTCTTGCTTGCTTTTTTGTTTGTATGTTCATTTCTTTTTGGTTTTTGGGACCATGTCTCACAGTGTGGTCACTAATTCACTGTGTAGCCTGGCCTGGCCTCCACCGGTGCCAGTCCTCCTACCTCAGCCTCCCGAGGATGGGATTACAGGCTGCCACACCACACCTGGCTTTGCTTGAAATTCTAAGTGTGTTTTTTTGTTCAATGCTAGGAATAGAAACAGCTGAGCTATATCCCCAACCCTTCCTTTAGTGCATGTTTATATAGTTCCTGATAAAAGGTTTGTTTTCCTTGTTTATTGTCTTCTAATGATGTGGTAAATCATTTTGTTTCCATCTTATTCTTTTTCAAAGCAAAATCTGTCTCTAAGAGCCCCAAGAATTTTCTGTTTCTAGATGTCATCCCAGAAAAGTGAGTATATTTACTTACCTTTCCAGAGTTACTTTTGAGAACCACATTCTAACCAAATTCTAACGGGGGATTTTGGGCAGGCCAGTTATATAGTACGTGTCTGTAGATTGCTCTCTGTCTTATCTAGGCCCTGGGGTTTCCTCCTCCTTGAGAGTTGAAGGATGCAGTTTTTCTTTGTGGATCAAATAGTTTTCTTTACAGCTACTTTTTTTTTTTTTTTTTTTTTTTTTTTTTGAGACAGGGTCTTGCTCTGTAATTCAGGCTGGCCTTGAACTCATGGCAATCTTCCTGGCTCAGCATCCTGAGGACTGGGATTACAGGTGTGAGCCACCACACCCAGCACTGTTTTATTAATGTTTCCTCTGATAGAAGATTTAATAAAGTAGAATTTTATCTCCAAAAGTAAGAGCTAAGACATCACAAAGAAGAAAGATCAGGCTGGGGATGTGGCTCAGTGGTAGAACTCTTGCCTTGTATGCACAAGGTCCTGAGGTTGATCCCCAACCACACACACAGAGAGAGAGAGAGAGAGAGAGAGAGAGAGAGAGAGAGAGAGAGAGAGACAGACAGACAGACACACAGACAGACAGACAAAGACAGATCATGGGGTATCAGTTTCCTAAGATGTAAGACGAACATCCTCATCTCCCTGGCTGGCACTAGGTGGCAGTAGAGGACCCTTGAGTTCCTGCAGGCCTCTCTCCTGGCACAGAATCTTGTGTGAAGAGAGATTTTTCTTACCAGAACATTCCATGGCTGTGATAGACTTTATGTAGAGACGCTTTCACTGAGTTCTTTAAGTTGAAAGGATTTTTTTAAGCACTCTTTTAATTTTAGAGAACATTTTAGACATATATACAGTTTCTAACATAGAAGCAAGTTTGTTTTAAAGACTGTATAGAGTGTGTCAGAGACAGTATTTATTAGTTTCAGAGTATGTAAAGGTCCGTATCAGAATGCAAAATTCAAAGCTCACTTGGGACAAAAATGTAATATTTTAAGACAGTGTGTTGTAAATATATAAGTGCCTTATAGAACAGGATCTTAACCTGCTTTTACTATTTCCTGAAGGAGTTAGTGTAGTTGTTGTTACTTCTAACCAAGAGACAACTTGAGGAACTGGGAGACTTGTTCCTCTTGTTTTCGGAGAAATAACTTCAGGAACTGGGAGGCTTGTAACTGTTATTTTTGGGGGGTGTGGTTGTCAACCTCCTGGACTTTGAATAGGGCTCAAATATGAAAAAAGGTTTTCTAGTATTTATAACTTTTTGAAGAAATTAGTTTTGCTTTTGTTTGCTTGTGGATTTATGTGATCATTGATGCTAAATGTTGCTGATCCGTAATATAAAAAGACACCTGTTCACCATATTTATTCATGTGTTAGTAGTAGTATACATTAAAGAGAATACATTTTTCTTAAGCCTTCATATTTTGAATCCTTTATTTATACATTACTGGAATATGTGACATAAACCGTGTTTCATTTACTTAATAAAACCATAATATATACAACATAAATACAGTAATATGATTCTTAGTTATTTCAGATAAATAGGAACATTTTGACAAAACCAAACTACAGAGAGTTCAAAAGGCTGGGATGGAAACTGTTCAGTGGCAGTGGCTATTTCCCTGTGAATGGATATTTGGGGTCACTTTATTCATAGCCTGGTTCTGGTGTGAAAAGCCTGCAGCTCAGTAGAGGCCAGTGGACTCGATTCTGAGGCTGGTTTGGCAAGGCAACCTGGACGTTCACATCATGAGCTGTCCAGTTTTCTGTGTCCTTCTAGTCATGGGTGTTGCTAGAGGAGGAGATGGGGTCCTTGGTTGTCTGTGGACCAGGAAGGGACACCTGGTTTGTAGAAAACAGCCAGAGAACCAAATGTGAACTAAGTGTGCTTGTCTTCTTAACATTTGAATAAAGTGTAGTGGTTTACTTAAAAAAAAAAGAGCTTTTTGTTTCTTAATAGACTTTTTTCTTTTTAAAGAACTGTTTTAAATTCACAGCAAACTTGGCAGGTACAAAAATTCCCTTATGGGGCTGGGGATTTAGCTCAGAGGCATAAGCGCCTGCCTTGCAAGCAGGCAGTCGTGAGTTCGATCCCTGGTACCGATAAAAAAACGAAAAAGACAAAAAAAAAAAACAAAAAAAACAAAAAAAACCAAAAATTCCCTTATACTTCTCCCTTCTCCATACTCTATACAGAGTGATATAATTGTTGGAATTTGTGTACCTACACTGACACTTTATTATCCAGCATCCATAGTTTTATATTGTGATTCACGCTGTACATTCTGGGGGTTTGTACATATGTATGATGGCATGTATCCAACAGTGAATCAAACAGAATAATTTCCCTGCCCTGAAAGAGATGAGACTGTCTTTATTCTACCTAGGAGGGTAGTTGATCTGCCCTTATATCATTGTTGTAGTTAGGGTTTGCAAGGGAATAGATTTAATGCAGGACACACAATTTATATGGTTATTTTATAATATTCACCCAGAAAGTCAAATGAAGAGTGTAAGAGATTTGTCCACACACTAGAGACCCAAAGAATCCAACTGAGGGCCTGGATCCCATGGTAATGTCCTCTGAGTCTAGTTGAAGACCTAGAGCCCATGGTGATGTCCTCCACCAGCTCAGCTGGAGACCTAGAACCCGTGACACTGTCTCGTGCAAGTCTGTATCAAGGATCTGCTCTGGGAAGGCCCAAAGGTCTGTGGTGAAAGCTAGGAACTCTGCACCAGTGGGATGAGGGTTTGTGCCACCAGGCTGGGGGATCTGTACTGCATCCAGGAAGCAACAATCAAAGCAAGGCCCAGAGCTCCCCTGATAAGAATTGCAGCCATCCAGTGATAACGAGGACCCAAGAGCCCCCAACGATGAGAACAGCCAAGTTTATATTGGGAAACCCATTTAAAGAGTATAGCTAATTCAATCAGTTGCTACTGTTGCTGCTGTTATTGCTATTCTGGCACACATACATTTTCAAAGCAACCACTATCACTGAGAAAGAAACCAGGAAAACAGTACCATTCACACTAGCATCAAAAAAATCAAATACTTAGGAATCAGCCTAACCATGGAAGTGAAAGACCTTTACAATTAAAACTAAAGGACTGTAAGCTAGGCATGGTGGCGCATGTCTGTAAACCTGCTAACTCAGGAGGCAGAAGCACAAGGATCGCTGAGTTTGAGTCTGAACTACATAGTGAGACCCTGTCTCAGCAAACAAAACACACACACACACACACACACACACACACACACACACACACAACTACCGGACCCTGAAATAGACATGCCCTGTTCCTGTATAAATAGAACCAATATTGTCAAAATGGCCATACTTTCAAAACTGAGACACAGAATTAATGCAATCCCAATCAACATAACCAACAACATTCCTCACAGAACTGGAGAAAACAATCCTGAAATTCATATGGAACCAGAAGAGACCCCAAAGAGATCCTGGCAAGAAGAGCAAAGCACGACCCATCAGAATGTCAGATTTCAAGTTCTGTTAAAAACCTTCAGTGACGAAAACAGCAAGGTAGTGGCACAAACACAGACGTGAGTCATGGAACAGAATAGAGGATGCAGAAAAATCTCCAGGCACATTCAGCCGTCTGATCTTTGACAAAAGGGCCAGAAACATACCCTTGAGGAATTTCCATATTGGTTGTATAAAAACTAAAATACTTTAGGAACACATTTTAAAAATCATGCACCTGAGGAAAGATAGCCTCTTTTTTTTTTTTAATTTTATTTAAGGAGAAAAGAAAAAAAAAGCAGAGAAAGGGTACAAGTTATACAGACTTGCAGAAAAAAAATGAACAGTAGGAAATCACTAGTTAGTGGATTACATACTGTCATCTTAGAAATAATTGTTCAAGTCACAAAATTAGAGCTTGTAAAGTGGACATTCCATCAATGATACTGCAAACAGTTCTGTTCAATGATCCAATAAAACTCTGTGATATCATATTCTATCTTATACACTTAAATATACATGCAGTTATATAGTTTAAAGCACTTTCTTTTCCTCTCTTTTGTACAATGACTATTACACATTTTGGGATTCATTGCTCTCACGGTTCTTATTACTTTTTTGGAAGAGAGTAAAACCAAATGTGACATAACAGAACAGAATCGGTCAAGTCAAAAGGGTGGACATAATAGATAATGTGAAAACATAATACAAGGTGATCAACAATAGTTACCATAATGCCTCCCGCTATCTCTAACAGAATTGCCTATACCATTAGTTATAATACAATTGAACAAAACAGTAAAGAACAAAACCGACAAAGCCAAACCATTGGAGACATTGTAGGTCTTCAAAAGTAGATAAAAGTCAACGAGAATGGGCGTTATAATGAATCTCATTATCTTCACAGCTGATGCCTAAATTTTCGAACCTGATACTATCCAGCAAAACAGAATAGGGGAACATCAGTTAAAAACCAGATGGTGAGAGTAATACAGGGCTTTAAATCGAGGTAATGGAAAGTCAAAGTGGGTTACTATAATATATCCTGCTATTTTTTTCCTTTAATTAAAAGGATAAAAATTTTTAAAAAAGTATTAAAAAAGTAAATAATGGAGTGGAGATTGAGATAAAAGAGGGCATAACAACGAAACAGCACAGATCAAAACATAACCATTTAAGCAGAATAGTGTTTCACCACCAGATAATCCTGACCTAAAAGTAGTTACCATATTATCTCTTTCCTTGAAATCCTTGAGTACAACTTCGTATACTGTAGCATTAAGTATATCAAAACAATGTAAAACCATTTAAGAGAATGACAGCACTACAGAGTATTTAGAATTGACTAACAGAAAATGAATAATGGTTTCTGTATAATCTCCTTGTCTTTAAAAGGTTTTTGCTTATACTATTGTACATAATAAAATCCAGTAAGATACAATCTATTTAGACCATTGGAGACAGAAGGACAAAAGCTAGATGAGACTTCAAAACAAGATGATACTAAATCAGTATTACCTATTAAGATGTCATTTTCTCCAAAATAGCTGTTCCTATCATCCAATCTTCTCTGCCTCATTTCTGTTGAGCTCTTATTCTGTCAGTAGCTGTCAGTTTGTCTTCTTCACTTTGTTCTCTGCTCCATTAGTCGTGGCCTCCACTATTTCTGGATTCTTTGTATTTTTCTTTTTTTAGAATATCCTGCAATACTCTCTGTAGAGTTGAATTGGTGGTTGCAAATTCCCCCAGTTCCTCTTTATCCTGGAAGCACCTTGTTTTCCCATCAATTTCCAGGGACAGTTGTGCAGGATATCTCAATCTTGGCTGGAGATTATTATGTTTCAAAGCTTGAATTATTTCCCCCCATGCTCTTCGTGATTTGATGGTTTGTGCAGAGAAATCTGCTGTAATTCTGATGGGTGCTCCCTTGTAAGTGGTCTGTTTCTTGTCTCTGACAGCTTTTAATATTCTGTTCTTGTATTGAATTTCTGGAATTTTTATTATTATATGCCTGGGTGTTGCTCTGTTTGGGTTGTAGGTAGCTGGGGTCCTGTATGCCTCATACATCTGAGTATCTTTACCTTTTGCTAAATTAGGAAAATTCTCCTGGATTATTTCTGCAAGTAGCTTTTGTAGTTCATTTGTTTGTGTCCCTACTTCTTCTTTTATGTTCTTAATCCTTAAGTTATGGCTCCTCTTATCATCTTCTTGTCTTTGTATTATTGCTGTTTGTTTCTTTGTTATTTTTAAGAAGTTTTTCATTTCATTCTCCCATATTACAATTCTGCCCTCCAGTTCAGATAGTCTGTCCTTGTTTCTTTCAAGCTGTTATGCCAGTCTTGGATAGACTTCTTAATTTCTTGATAGTCCCTTTGAACCTGCTTCACGTATTCTATGCTTTCCCTGTTTTCTCCATCAAACAATTCTCCCCTCTTTTTCTGTTCTTCCATTCCACCATCTGTTTTTTCTTGGGTGGGGCTTAGCATTTCTCTAACTATTTTGCATACTTCTTAGCTTCAGGTCGTTGATAACTTCATTCCTGAATTGGTCTATGAGGCTCTCTATATGGTGCTTTATGTGTATTGGTGCGGTGTCCGCTATTGCCTGTTTCTCAGAATTGGGGGCCGAGGAGCCTTTCTTGTTGCTGCCTCTTCCAATATTCTCTGTTCCTTATATATGCAAGCTTATATGAGAGGCCCAGCTTCTCTCCCTGTCAGCCACAGCCTGATCAAATTGCGCCGGTCTCACCGCTGCGCACCAGGCAGCCTACGCAGGGGCCAGCCCCTCCAGGCCACCTTCAGGCTCTGGGATCTGGGTTAGGCCAGCCTACCAAGTCCGCCCGCAGCGTCAAGCAGGCCAGGCACTTTTCACCAATCCCGCCCAAGAGGGGAATGTGTGGCTGGAGTCGCCAGCGCGCCCTGCTCCCGCAGGACTGCTCGGGCCCAGAAAGTCCGCTGGAGTCAAACTGTGGTGGAGTGTCAGTTTCTCTCACTCACCTCGCCACAATTCAGAACATGCCTCCCTGCCTGTCCTGTTTTCGACTCCGTTCGCAGACTCACGTTCTCAGAGTTTCCGTGAGTCTCTCTCCTTGCCGAGCCGCTGTAGAGGCAGCCAGCCACCGCGCGGCGGGAAACCCAAATCGCGGCTTCCAATGGCGCAGGGTCCAGCCTCAGCAGCGAGACTTTTCTGTTCCTGTTTTAGCACCAGGACTGCATTCCAAGTTGGTTTCTCTCAGCCGAGTTCGTTCCTGAGTCAGCAGAGCATAACTCCACCTGTTTATGTCTCTTTAGTCCGCACCATACCTGGCTTCTGAGCCTAGTTTTTCAGAGAGCCTCCAGTAGTTGCTGTTATCTGTCCGCCATGTTCTCCCGGACTTTTTCGGAAAGATAGCCTCTTTAACAAATGCTTCTGGAAAAACTGACTCTACACAAATAGAAGACTGAACCTAGACCCGTATGTCCCATCATGTACTAAATTAAAATGCAATGAAGATCTGATTTTTATTTTTTTGTCTTTTTGAGACAGGGTCTTGCTATGCAGTACAGGCTGGCCTCAAACTTGCAGCAATCTTCCTGCCTTAGCCTCCTGCTAAAGATCTAAATGTTAAAACAGAAACTTCTGGAAGATAAAACAGGTAAAACTTTTGAAGACATAGATATGGGGAGGGATTTTCTGAACAGAACCCTAACTGCAAAAAAATAACCTCAAAAATCAACAAATGAGATTGCATCAAGTTGAAATGCTTCTGTAAACCACAGGAAGCATCCAACAAAGTGAAGAGACAACCTACGGAATAGGAAAACATTTTTGCCCACTATTCTTTGGATAAATGACTAGTATCTAGGATATACAAACCGAAAAACAAGTTAGACCCCCAAAATAAAAGATCTAATTATTATTATTATTATTATTATTATTATTATTATTAGTTTTGGTACTGGGGATTGAACTCACAACTTCACACTTGCCAGGCAAGTGCTTATGCTGCTGAGCTAAATCTCCAGCTCCTAAAAGACCTAATTAAAAAAATGGGCACCTGAATTGAATAGACAGTTCTCAGAAGTACAAATGGCAATAAATACATGAAAACATTTTCAACATCTTTGGCCATTAGAGAAATGGAAATTACAGCAACACCCAGATTCCATCTTACTCCAGAAAGAATAGCTATCATCAAGAAATCAAATAGTAATGAGGTTGCAGGGAAAAAGGAATCTTTCTACCTTTCTATTGTTGCTGGGAGTGTAAACTAGTACGACTCATTATGAAAATCAGTTCTCAAAAGACTGAAACCAGAAATTTCATTTGACCTGGCTATTCTCCTTCAAGGTATCTACCCAAAAGAATTAAAGACATCGTATTACACTGTTTCATGCACACGAATGTTTATAGCGGCACACTTCATAACAGCTAAATCTTGGAAGCAGCCTGTATGTCCATCTACACATGAATACACAAAAAAGTATGGTATTATGCACAAAGTAGCACTACTCTGCATAAAGAGGGATAAACTTGAGTTATTTGCAGGAAAATGGATAAACCATGAGACAATAATATTAAGTAGAATAAATCAGACACAAGCTTACATATTAAATGCTTTTTTAAAATGAACCCAAAATATAAAGAACAACAACAAAAAAAGATAGATAATAGGAAACTTTTTTTTTTTTCACAAAAGATAAGCGGACCAAGAGATGGCAAGGGGGAAGGGGATGAAAAAAATTAACATGTGTTATGTACATGTAGTAACTTCCCACAAGAACAGATCAGGCATCATTGTGTTGCACATCCTCCTCCCTTCAGCAGACCACCTAGGAGCTGATGAAACCTCTAACTTGCCTGGCCCAGGTCTTTTCCTGACCTCCATTGCTTCCCTTTAGTCTCATGAAACACCCACTGGTAAAAATACTTCACAGAATTAAAATTCGTATTCAGAAAGTAGAACAGTTATGAATTTAAGAAAACCTGTAATAGAAGTTCATTTGAGAGAGAACATACTTACATTTGGTCCTTCAAGGATGATGTTTGGTAAAGGATTATCTACCAAATTTTTAGAGGATTAATTTCATTTCTGAGATTTCTACAGATCAGTGTGGTCCAGAGAAAGTATATTTTAGACACTTAGACAAATACAGCCACATGTCTGCACGTATCTACAGGATGACTTGCTTTTAGATGTGATGAAGACATAGAGCCCTGAAGCTGGATTGAATGATTAAAAGACTAAGTGTGAAACACTGAAAAAGTAAAAGTTATCAGTAACCCCAACCACCTATCAATGTTTTGGGAGTGTTTCTTTTGGTCAGTAGGATTATATATGGTTTCATTTTAAAAATTATACCATAATCATTTTCTTAAAACAAGTATGTTCTACTAGATTTTTTTATTCTTTGACTATTAGACTTTAGAAAAATAGCAAAAGTTGTACAGGGAATTCAGGCATGACTTTCCCCCCAACTTCTTCTAAAGTTATCTCTGACCTAATCATGCACATAATGAAACTGAGAAATTCACATTGGTACAATACTATTATTTAACGACCTTATTTGAATTTCTGTATTTTATTGTAAATGTTATTATATATGTTCACGATTGTTCTCTAATGGTCCCAGGATCCAGTCCAGTATCCCAAAATGCAGTGGGATGTCATGTTTCCCTAGTCTCCTCTAATATTGTTTCTAGTTATTTGATACTATTAATAATGTTTGATACATACATATACTCTGAATTTTTTGTTTTCATAAATTAGGTTATGTGTTTTGTTTTTTTGTTTTTTTGCTAGAGAGAGAGTCTCACCGTGTAGTTCAGACTGGGTTTGAACTCACTGTGTACCCCAGGATTGCCAACTCGCGCCAATCCTCCTGCCTCAATCTCTCAAGTCCTAGGATTACAGGTGCGCTACCCAACCGCCGGCTTCCTCCATCAATTATTTTTCTAACAGGGAAAACTAATAGGTGTTGGGAACGTTTGTGCTCATAGAGTTGAGCTAGTCGGTGTCAACTTCCAAGGCAATCATATCCTGCATCCAGAATACCAGCAGTCAACAGAGGCAGTAGTCAGGGAATTCAGGAAGCCCCCTGCCGGCCGGATGACTAAACGCAGCCGCCAGTACGGTGAACCGAACCTAGTAACAGTTCTTAATGTTGGGGAAGAGACTTCCGGTAGGGGCATTCCCATTTCCGTCCGAGCGCTTCGCCTTTGGGCCCGACCGGAAATAACTGTAACCTGTTTAAAGCCACGTCTGTCCGGGCTTTGGTCCCGCCCACACGGCGTAAGTGTTTCCGGGGCGAGCGCATTCTGGCCCGCCCCGCCCCTTCGCCGCCGGCGCGGTGCTGAGAGCCCCGGTGCTCCCGGAAGTTGCCTGCCCGGGCCTCTCGGTTGGGGTCTCCTGCACCCCTCTGCTCCTGAGGGCCCTAGGGGCGGTGGCAATGGCGGAGGCGGCGCTGCTGCTGCTGCCCCAGGCGGCGGCCGAGCGGGACGCTCGAGAGAAGCTGGCCCTCTGGGATCGGAGGCCTGACACGACGGCGCCGCTGACCGACAGGCAGACGGACTCGGTGCTGGAGCTGAAGGCGGCGGCGGAGAACCTGCCAGTGCCGGCCGAGGTGAAGTGACGGGTGCGAACTGTCTGGGGCTGCGGGCCGGGTGTTCCTCGGGCGTCCTGGCCTCCCCTGTCGGCCAGCTTCTCTCAGGCCGCCACGGCGGATCCAGGGGGAGGGACCCGCCTGTCTCCCGCCGTCGACCTTTCCCGGCCGCGGTCCGGACTGGGCCTGCTCAGGGAGGTCGCGAGGGGTCCGGGGGCCGGGGACCGCCTGTACTCAGTCCTCCTGCGGAGGCTTGGGTCACTGGCCAAGAGCCTAGCTCTGGACGTCTTGCGCCGGTTGTCCTGCGTGTCACCTGAGGCGGATCCAGCTGTGCACCTTCCCGGATGAGGGCGGGGAACCAAGCTGCTTTGCAGCTGACAGTCTCCAAATTGATGCGTGTTCATCCTGGTAATGAGTAATCTAGTTTCCTTTCTGTGTGGGCCTCAGAGACCAAAGCTTGGCCTGAGTGACAGCTTTTTCTATCACGCATTGAACACTGAGCCCTGGAAGTAGAGGTTATGGGAGATCTGATTTATTTAATCCATAGCAAAACAATAAAAATGAATTTTCTTTGAAAGCGCAGTCAGTACATTATTAAATAATGCTGGCTTTTGGCTTCAGTATCAAAGTTTTAAATTCATATTACTGCTTGTATGATTTACTTCAATTAGTGTAAATAGCTAGAAGTATATTTTATAAATTGTCAGATTCGACAGACTTTTTCTAGTTTTGAGGGCCAGTTTTTGGATTACTGTGTTGGAGTGATGCTTACTTCTCGTATTGGAAGCATTCTTTTTATACCATTTGGAATTGGTGTACCATCTGAAGATTGAGTTTAGAGTTCTCAACTTTTTCTGCCCTCAGTCCTTAAAGGTTTGATTTGAAATTTCTCTTCACATTTACTGCTTCACATTTATATGCTCTTCCATAAAGGAGGTATTCTCTTTTGGGATTCTCTGACCATCTCCAGAGGATGCTTTGCAGGAAATGGGTCTGAAATAAGCAGGTAGAAAGTTCTTTGACTTAATTATGAAAGTCTTACATTCTGGATAATAGCAATGGTTAGCGCTATAAATGTTCCAGTCTTTATAATTTAGTTTGCCATTGAAGCAGGATCTTTGAGCTTTATAACTCAAGGGAGGGGGACATATTCTACAAGGAAAAAAAAAATATTATCATATGTTATAAACTATTTGACTATTTGTTTGGATCCTGAGAAGAGTTTGGAACGTTGTCATTGTCTCCCCATTCTTCCATATTTATGCAATAATGCAATAAATATGCTGCATTTAATCATTTGACATTACATGCCTGCTTTGAGCTAGGAATTCGGGTTAGAAAAATAGGAAGGACAAACTTTCTAACCTCACAGAGCTGACATTATGGAGATTGTGAACATGTAATAAAAAAATTAAGGTAATTTTGGATAGTGACCCATGATGTTAGAAAAATAGAATAGGATGATGTGAAAGGGATAAGGTATGTTTTAATTAGCTGATGAAAATGACCAGTCTGTGGTGAGAACTGGTGATGGAAGATAAGAAACCAGACTTGGAAAGACAAAAAGAAACTACATTTTAGTTGGAGAAAAAAGCAGTGCAAGGTCATGGGTGGGGGACATTCTTAACAAGTTTAAGAATTCAGTGAGTGTCTTCTGGTATGTGCAGCCTGGTATTGGATTCCTGTGGGAAGGAAACAGCCTGTTGTTTGCCCGCCCTGGGAAATTGAGGAATCTATTGCTCTTCAGCTCTCTGTAGCCCTGTTTCCCTTACCTAAGTGTTTATGCCCAATAAGAAAACTTTGGAAATAATTTTTATTCCCATTACCATTCTTTATACTGGTATTGAGAAAAAGAGTGCCTCAGTTTTCATTTCGTCTGACCACTATATCTTTAAAGGATTTATCGTAGTGCTTCAGTTTCATGAGATAAATTATTCCTGAACAGCAGAAACGTGGCAGGTTAGCAAGAGTCTAGCTAACTCGCAGTAAATATCATAAAGCTGTTAACTTTAGAAGATAGCTTTCATCTTTGGGTTATAGAAAGCCTTTCCTTCCTTTTGGAAAGGAGTTATACTTTTTATTATTACCGTTTTTTGCATTAGATACGTGAATTTGCTACAGTTTGGTTTTTTGGTAGCCAGGATAGATTTTTTAGTAACCTGGGCAAATTTTCTTTCTACTGAACTTAGTGATTCTTTTTTGTTTTGTTTTGTTTTTGGGTACCAGAAATTGAGCTTGTGATCTTGCATTTACTAGGCAGGTATTGTGCCACTGAGTTATATCCCCAGCAATTTGTAGTAATTTTTGATAAAATAATTTACCCTGACATTATTTGTAATTTATTATTATAGGTATTATAGGATGCAGTGATTAGACATGATGTTTAACCCTTCTGAGCCTCTGTTTTCTCTCCCCATACCCTCTACTAGGGATTGCGCTCACAACCTCGTGCTTGTCCAACAGGTGGCCACCTACACCATTGACCTAAGTCCCCAACCCCCTCTGTTTTCTTCTTTATAAAAATTAGGACTTATGAAGAGTTGTGAGAATTTAATACAGTCACGTTTGTTAAGTACACAGGACAAGCTACTTGCTAGTATTACTTTTATTAATGTGCTTTCTTTCAAATGATTGACTTAAAAAAATAGAACAGAATTCTGTGATCCTGAGCAGGTAGAGATGTTACTCAGATCCAAGAGAAGAGGCTAGTTGCTTTGAGGAAGGTTCTGCAATTCCATAATTTGCTCCAAGCTGAGAAAGTAATGCTATTTAGGGAATGACATTGATCACTTCATTTCTAAAGATGATTTTGTTTTCTTTTCTTTTTTTGGTACCAGGGATCAAACTCATGACCTTGTGCTTATGCCGCTGAGCTAAAACCCTGGCCCTAAAGTGGTTTTCTCCAACTCATAATTCTGTAAGAAGTAAAGCTGGGAGAGGAAGATGTGCGTTTTTTTTTTTTTTTTTTTTTTTTTTCTTCCTGTCTTTGAGACAGGATCTCCCTATGCAGTCAGGCTGGCCTTGAATTCACTTGGTAGCCCAGGCTGGTTTTGAGAACTTGCAACCATCCTCCTGCAGTCTCCCAAGTGCTGGGAGTGCACCACCATGCGCAGTAGGTGTGCTCTTTTTGACCCTGGTAAGTTAGTCAGGGAAAGCTTGCTAGTCTGTTATAGTTATTATTTAATACATTAATATCTCTAGTTGCATAGGTTATGCGGGAGCTCTTCTTCACTGCTAGGATCTGTGCTCTTCTCTGGTGATATTTGTCTGTTCCATGTGGAGGCCAGGAGTGTGTGAGCTGTAGCTTTGAGTCACCTCTGCACAGCTGACGGAGAGGTCAGAACAGGCAAGTTTGTAATACCACACTCCTTGATTTGTCACTCTATTCCAGCTGTTTTGAGAAAAGAAGATTTACATATTGTAACACACAGGCACGTACACACTTGCATAGTGAGAGAGGGGCCAGCTAGATCACCAGGTTTGTATAAAGGCTACATGGCATGGAATTTATTGTGCCTGGTATACATAGACAGAGAAAAGACCATCTGTAGAGAACAAAGAAGTGTGTCTCTTTTATAGGGATGAAAAGAAGGCAGGGGACATTAGACAAGATTTTAATAAACATCTGGTTCTCAAGCAGTCTTGCACCTTAGTGGGCAGAGTCCTTGAAGGTCTGATATAAATTTTGGGTGTCTCCAAATGTCCCCAGATGTGCTAGGACCTACAAAATTCCCTGTCCTATCTACCTTCTTTACAGCATCCTGTGCTTGCTAATGGCAGCGTTGGTGCTAAGTCGAGTTCCTTGCCGAGAGTAGTGCCTCTGCTGGCACGTGGGTTGGGGTGGGAGAGTCAGGTCTGATTGGAATCTGAGTTCAAGCAGTGATGCTCCTCCTCAGCCTGCTGAGTGCTGGTATTCCAGGTGTGTGCCACCACACCTGGCCTCAGCATTGTCGTTTTGAAGGCTTCTCTCCTGTTTGGTTTAAGAGAAAGTGGTTCTGTATTAGAATAAGGGAACAGAGAGCTGCCTCTTGCTTCTGGTAAATTCCTTATGATTGAAAAATGGTTAGTATTTGTGCTTGAAGTAATCAAACAGAATCATGTTGACAAATTCAAATATGTTTACCTATCTCAAGATACAAAGTGTCTTTATAGCAATTTCTCAAATATCTCAAATTTTTATGTGATTTTACTTTCTCAAGTCAATTAGAAGATAAATATTTTTAGTTCAAGATAACGAATGGAGTACACATGTGTGAGTCTGCTGTGCCTCTTTAAAATGGTAGTAATAAATGTGTGGCACACCACAGCTAAAGATGGTATCAGTGAACCTGTAATTCAGGCAAAGGAACAGTTGGCAAGGAACATGTACCATTCTAAAAATCAGTCTGAAGACTTAGTCACAGAACAAAGTATAAATATAAATTTTGACTGTAATTAGGATCACTGATAGAATTTGAAAGTAAACATGAAAATATAGGGGCATAAGGAGGGGTACTAGGGGCCCTGTAGGGGTAGTATTGAACAGTCAATAAAGAGGACCTTGGTTACTTTCTCTTGTTGCTGAGACAAAATACCCAACACCAAAAATGAAGGAAGGAAAGGTTTATTTAGCTTATAGTTTGTGGAGTTCTCAGTCCTTACTCAGCTGGCTTGAAGGCAGGGTGGTGTGGCTAAGGGGCAGCCATTCATGGTGGCCCCAAAGAGCTAAAAAGGCAAAAGGGGAGGAACATGCCTCCTTCCTTCCCTTACATGGTTTGTAGGCCACACACATTTGGGTAGCACACACATCCATAATCCCAGCATTGGACCATGAATCAGTCTCAAGCTCTAGATGCCTGTCCCCATGACTGCAGGAGGCTTGAGGGAACATCCAGACACAAACCATAACAGGACCTTCATTTGAATTCAAGTCCAGAATTGTAAATCTGCTTCTTAGAATTACGGAGCAACTATCAAAAATACTGAAAGAAGTAAAAAGTAGGGTAGGGGAGACTGGTGCTTTTCATTTGAATTCTTCTGGA